AAAAAAAAAAAAAAAAAAAAAAAAACCAGGAAAAATTTAATTCATTTTTTTATCTTCTTCCTTGACTCCCCCTGTTCAGAACCTCTTGCGTACAAGGCCGCCCACGTGGATGTAGGTTGAGCGGCGGCTGCCCCCACCCCCATGTGTCATGTGAACCCACTTGCACACAGCCAAAGGGCAAAGAGGCAAAGAAGAGAGGAATGAAACAGCCAAATACAACAAAACAGGGGGCAACATATATATATATATATATATATTTAGAGAGAGAGAGAGAGAGGGAGAGAGAGATGGACAGAGAGAACATGTAAGTCTGTAACCTGGCGGCTGGCCTCGTGGTACTTCCATAGACTGAACAAATCGAATGAATCAACCGCTGGAACATGGAAATATACACCGCCGTACTTGTTTGTTTGTTTTTGCTTGTACTTCTCTTTGTTTCTGTGTGTGTGTTGTGTGTGTGTGTGTGTGTGTGTGTGTGTGTGAGAGAGAGAGAGAGAGAGACAGAGCGAGACAAACAGAAAAAAAAAAAAACAATGCTCGTGTTTGTTTGGGGGTTACTATTATTATTTTTTTACCCATCTGAAAACAACATTAACGACCCCCTCCCGGGCCTCCCCCACATTTATTTTTTCTTTTTGTTTTTTAGCTGTTTCCATGTGCAGGTGGTGCGCACGCCCCGATTTCAGGCACGCCGCTCCGCCTGCACGTGGCGCGGCCGCCGAAGAGGTCAGTCACGCGGCCTCATAGTGTGCAACATGTTCCGGCCACTACTCTGCTGGATCCTGGGTTATCTACAGAGGAGGGGAGGGACCCGGGGCTGCACGTTGCCGTCATCCGACTGGCTGTGGGTGGACATGGACATCCCATCGCGTACAGAGGTTCGTGGCAGTGTGCATGCTCTGCACGATGACAAAGACCCGCCACAAGAGCGTGAATCACACTGGCATGGACACCAGCAACTCAAAGTTGTCCCCCCGCTTAGTTCCAATACGCACGCCGGCTCCACCCGTGCCCCACAGTCCGTCGTGGCCGCACATCAACCCCGCACACTCGCCACCAGCTCGTCAAATCGCCAAACTCTGAACTCACCACTTCATCTACTCCTACTCGTTAACTGATCCTCTTCACCACACTGAACTTCCCAAGTTTGATTAGAGAGAAATTTAGTTGCGCTTGCAAAATTTATAACGTCAGCATTTGCACAAGGTAGTCGGGATTATGCAAAAGCAAGGGGGAGGGAGGAAAGAAGGAGATGCCTACGGTCGGCATGCCTTGGACGCGGCGCAGAGGACATAGCCACTCTCCATACATCAATCCAGTCATGCACCGTTCTGGCCAATGATACGAAGGGGAAGAAGCCACATGTTTCAGCACGAAGAGAAGCCAAGAAAGAGAAGATTACAATTACACCTGCACTCCACGAGTAAGAAAGAAAAAAAAATTACAATTGAAAGTTGAATTAAGGCACAGCCTGAGTAGAATGCCACACAAAACGCAGAAGAATGCACGTGAGTAAGGAGCACCGTGCAATTACGAGCAAGAAATACGATGTACCCCAAATCCTAGTCTAATTAGAATCCTATTTCTGAGCGCCCATGTGGTCTCCCACATGCTTTCCAAAGCGTTAAAATTTTCAAAACGATTTTGTCACCCAATGACTGCACCAAAGTTCCCTGCCCAAATTCCCAAATGAAAAAAAAAAAAAGCCGCCCCAAAGGTTATTCCTGCGCTCACTAAGGCGTGTCCTGAACACCAACCACCATGAACCAAGTTCTCGGCAAAACAGAGGAAAGAGAAAGGAATGGATGCACCAGTGCAATTTGATAAAGCCGCTCCAAACCCCCAAGGTGAAATCTCACATAAAGGGAACTCCAGAGTTCTCACGGAAACTCAGGAGCACGGGCGGGCCCACTCTGACAGCTAAAGGGCGACGATCTTGAGATATTATCACTGAGTTGACTGACCCCAAGCAATGTATTAGTACCCACTGATTCGAACACAGGTCTGTATTCCAACAGTTCATGGGTGTACCCACTGAGCTAGGCTCTTGGGTTATAACTCATTTTCAGTAGTACTCTCAGGCCCGCTCCTCTGACAGCTCTACAACTCACTTCCTGATCCCCACCAGCGGCCCCACTCCATCCTTAACCACCATGGTTGGGGTGCGGGGCAATATTCATCCCCTCCATGGTTGGGGTGGAGGGCAATATTCATCCCCTCTGATGGTTGGAGGGAGACTAAAGCTATGTTCACAGGAGTCCCCTGTATAAGCCTTAAGAGCAGTGGCACGTAGAGAGGTAGTGAAGGTGAACTTAACGAATTTGAAAGATGAAGAAATATTTGAGACAAGAAAATGTGAAAAAAAAAGGTCAGATGATTGGATTCAGCTTGCTCAATTACTTCTAATACAAGTTTTTTTTTTTTCTGTCTTTCGTTTTGACAAGACATCCCACGTTCAATTTCATTTCAAAACGTCACTTGAAACGAGGCCGGGGACCTCACAATTCAACCCGGAGTTATCCCGGCAGCATCAGCCGGTTTCGCTTCTGCTCAAGAACCCAATTACAAGATGCATACCGAACTGCCCTCCTACTTCAATCTACTACTCCTACCTATTCCTGAAGTACCCCTAACTTCCACTTCACAGACCTAGGCGCCGGTCCGAACTCGGCCCAAAACGACAGAGAGGAAACCTTGTTCTTTTTTGGTAACTGACACTCTCCGTACAGTGGCCGCCGACTAGAACTGAGTGCGCCTGCGGTCTACTTCACAGGATTACGGTTTTCGACACAGGCCGAGTGACTCGAGGGTAAAAATCATTAAAAAGAAGACACGGTTTGACGGTATGTGGGAGTGGTCTCCAGAGGGGACATTCTGCAATAAATTTGGTGCCAGCCCGTGAGAGGAGTAGTGACTCGTGAGATCTTCAGGACTCTCGCACTCCATTCTTGACTCAGTTGCCGGCAATAGCTGAAGAGCGATCGCCGGAGAGGATAAGGGAGCAAAAGAAAACCTCTTCATGGCGCCATCGACAGTCACGCTAGGAGAGGAGGGCTTCTCAGGCTTCAGCAAGCAGACCTCCGGACAGACTGAGGCCGTTAACGACAGCAGTCCACTGATTAAGGAAGACGGAGTCCTTCGCAAATAAGTACAGTGCCTAACAAGATAAGATTCAAACGCGATGACTTACAAAAAAATCGACGCGGTTTAAAACCAAAGACTGATTCGGCTCCGTTTAACTCCCTGGTCCTTCAGCCCAGGCGTCAAAACTTCATTATTTCCAGTCACTCTATCTACAACCCTAACCAAAACATGACGGTAGCTAAATTTAGCAAATGACGCTATACATCCAGATAGAATAAACAGCGCCTTCCGCCGATCACCTTCCCGTATTGATCGATAGGCCAAAATACAGCCTCTGTCACACCCAGCATAGCCGCAAGTGCTAACCTTAGCAACTCGTTGAACAGCTTATTTGCAATGGACCACTCGAGTGGAGGCCTAACAATATTCACTAGAAAGCAAACACGTCCCCTCGGTCAGAGCTTGCACAAGGTCCACGCCGTCAAGCCCAGTCCGACAGATTATGTGGCCGATAATCTTCCTCTTACTCTCCTCGCTAAGCCCCTTTCCTTCCTCAGCAAGCTGCGTTGCGTAAATCTTAACTCGCTCATCCTCGCCTGCCAGGTAGTAAAGCCCCAAGATTATTCTCTTCTGCTCCGAGTTGAGAGCCTCGCGTTGTGGAATTGAGAGGCAAGCAGGAGATGCGACGACGGCCGGCGGAGCACAACAGGCATACGGGACCGTGCAAGCCGGCGGCTCCGGCTTGTGTTGTGGGGCAGAACTAACGCAGACGGTCTCAAGCACGAGCTCCACGATCGACACTTTCACCTTGTCAGCAAATTCCTTCAGAGATTCCGCCACCTCCTTGTCTTTGGAGGCAATAATTGCAACCTTCAGCGCCCCCAGCCCACCGAATGCATAGATTTTGCCATAGATCTCCCACCTCTCCTTCAAGCTGAGCATGCTCGTCTTCTCCACCAAAGTCACACCCAGGAGGTACCCTTCGACACTGGCCAGGCCAATCAGCTCCCTGAGCCTGTCGCACGCCGAATCACTGCCTGCACACAGCACTTGGGAAAGAACATCTTCCTCACCGAATGTTTTCAGCTCATCCAGGAAGCAACGGTTGCCCTCAACCACTGCTGCCAGCCTCAGTGCATCGAGTCCACCCTGGCGGAGCAACTCACCATATAGCTCCAATTTTGTCGCGGCCGACAATGTGGCCGACTCCTTCGCCAAACGGATGGAAATCTCGTAGCCCCGCAGGCCCGCGATGCAAACAATCTCTCTCAAAGCAACCTTCCCCACTTCCGTGGCGATGGTTACACACTCAGTTACGCAGGGATGGCAGGCCGGAGGTGCGGGCTGCTCAGGCTTCGGAGCGCAAAGAGCCGGAGCGGGGCACTCGTCTAAGTACCCTCCCTTACACAAGAACACAGTGAGGTCCTGGACGATAACCGTCAATTCTTCCACGAAAGCGGTGTCCCTTGCAAGGGACACGCCCAATCGAACAGCCTCGAGTCCCGCTTCTGCGAAGAGCTTTGAGTAAATATCGCGMTTGTCTGAGACAGAGAGCGACTCCGACAGAAGCCTCACGGACAATTCATATCCAGCAGCGCCGGCCARCACCACCACCTGTCGCAAATCCCGCTGTTGCTGCGAGGCTTTCTCCGCCGAGGTGTCGCAAACAACGCTGGCCTTSGACGAAAGASTAGTGCCCACGGCGACCAGTTCCTCTAAAAATGCGCGATCCCGGGCGAGTTTTGCGCCGGCCGCCAGAACCTCAACGCCACCCAGGCGGAGGAGGTCCGTGTAAACACTCTTACGCTCCTCGGCGCTCAAAAACTTCCACTCCTTCAGGATCTTCACACCCAGATCATAGCCGGCGATGCCCGCCCCCAGGACAAGGATATCCAGGATCTTCCGCACAGCCGTGGGCAGCTCCGCCTCGGGAACAGGGGGAACGGCCGGGCAGCAGACGYTTGATCCAACGGCRGCGGCCAGCAACTCCACGTAGTTCACCTCACTGCCCAACACAGCGGCCGCCTTGACGGCGTCCAGCCCGCCCTTCGTGTACAGCGACTTGTATATGCTCTTGCGTTCTTCCACTTCCAAGGTCGCCCACTGCGACTTCACCTTCATTCCGATCTCGTACCCCTCCACTCCCAACTTGCACACGAGATCCCGGAGGCTCTCCTCCKCACTCTTCARGTCCTTCAGGGMCTCRCCGGTGGCCAGCTCGTACGTGGAGACRAACGTCCCAGGAGGGAAAACCAGCGCGGAGATCRCCACGTCCGAGCTCAGCAACTCCGGAAGAGCAGGGTAGGCACGGATCTCCACCAGCGTCGCGATCTTGTCGATGATCTGCTGCTGCACGTCACGTGTCAGGTCGCTGTTGCACGCGATCACMGTGGCCAGSTCACGKACTTTTTCTACTTCGCCCACTCCCAACGCATACCTCGCCAGCAAGTCCACCGCATTCTTCTGTCGCACCGTCAGCGAAACACCGCCCCSTACCTTCGGCTCGCAAGGATCCTTMTGGAAGGTTCCCGCAGGGAAAATCAAACCCTTTGGGGGCTCTGGCACGAACAACGCGGGAAGGCACGGCCTTGCTGCGATCTTCACCAATCTAACGACCTCATCGACGAGGCTCTGCTTGTGGTCCAAGTCTGACGGACACGGTTCCACAATCTTCAACAGCATTCCTCGCACCAGTTCACGATCGCAGATATTCTCCACCAGGTCCGAGATCTTCTCCATCGTCGCGATTTGGACGGCAGTAAGGCATGCCTGGGGAAGACAAACCGAAGGGGCTGGAGCAGGCGCAACACATTTCTCGGGGAACTTCAAGCCAGCAGGCGCCTCCTTGGCAAAGATCAGCTTCAAGGAGAACCACCCGTCCGCCTCCACCAGGGAAGCGATCTCGTCGATGATCGCCTGCTGCGCAGTGAGCCCGATGCCAGCACAGTCAGCGAGCTTCGTGGCCATATCCTTCACCCTCGTGGCATCCGTGGAGCATTTGACGTAGCTGACAATCCTACTCACGAAGTAGCTCTGCCGAGCGTCAAGCTCAACAAACGCCGGTGCGGCAGGGGGAGGGGGCACACATGCCTGAGTGGGAAGCGGTGCCGGTGGCGGCGTGCACGGATCCGCGCAGACGGCACAGGGAAGTTTGAGACCTGCGGGCGGGCGAGCATCACCGAACAGATCAGCAATCGAGGCGTATGCCTTTGGTTGAACAAGATAAGAAAGCTCATCCACAACTCTCTGTTGGTCGGTAAGGGCGGCGCACTGGGAGAGAGCGATTCGAGTCGCCAGAATCTCCACGATGTGCTCGCAATCGGCAGAAACCACGTGCTTCTTGAGGTAAGCGATCGAGAGCTCCTGGAGGCGTGTCAGGCATGGCGGTGGCGGACATGCTGGTGGGCAGAAAGGCTGTGGCGGACAGGCTGGCGTGCACACAAACGGTGGTGGGCAAACAGGGACGACAGAAGGAGGGGGGGGGATGAAGCAGAAATTCGCACTCGGGCGGGAACACTTGACCCAATAACTAAGCGAATATCGAGAGCATTTCTCAAAGACCACATCACCCAAACACTTGATGGCTTGGAGGAAGCGCTTATCACCCGCAAGCTCCGCACCCAGCTCTACTGCGTTCACACCTCCCGCCGTGAACAACGACTCGTAAATGACGACTTGCTCCTCTACTGTCAGCTTCGACCAACCCTCTCTGATCCGAGTAGCGATATCCAGACCGGTGACACCCAAAGCGCAGACCAGATCCCTCACGATACTATCGACCGTCCGCGGAGGTCCGCAGACAGGATGCGGCTCCGACGGCGCCGGGCAGACGACGGGAGCGGGCAGCGCAGGCACGGGCGGAAGGAACTTCTTCTGCTTGCCGTCGGCATCAACGGATGCGAACACGGGCTTCTGCAAAAATCCAGCATCGTAGAGCGCTTGCGYAGTGGCGGAGAGAAGGCTGTCATTCGTGATATCCGTGCCGTTGGATGAGTTGCTGATGGCGCCATAGAAGTAATAACTGAAAGCGCCCACAGCTTTCCCTTCGATTTTCGCGTCCCAGCTCGGCTGTCGTTCGTCGCTGGCAAACCAGGCACAAGGAGTAGCGAAGCACATGTCTCGAAGAGGATTCCCAGATCTCAACGCCGCGAACCTCCCGTCCTCCTTCAGCTTCCTGTAGCCCGCCCTTACGCCGACATTCTCGAGGCCCCTCGTCCTCACAGCCTTGTTCAGCAGGCTGCGACACGTGTAATGGTGAACAGCTGCAAAAGGACAGCGGACAAGCGGAGCAAGAAGAACGCAAGTTGCACAACGTCAATTCCCGCTAGATTCAAAAAGAAAAAATAACAACGGTGAAAATTTTGTGCATTTGGATCGCATTTGGACCGCGATCTTTTGCTACCATCATTTCTCTCGTCTCTTTTTTATCCTGTCCCTCCCAGTCTGTACCGGGATCCATCTTTTCGGTTGTGGTAGATTAGGTGGACGAACAGTGATAATGCCGATCACAATTTCTCGTTTTTTGGCGTACTCGGACACATACACAGATATTGCTGCTCTTACAAACCAACAGTCATCACTACTGTGACATAATACCTTTCTCGGCCTTTTGGCGAAGCTCCAATCAGAAGAACAGAATGAGATAATTCAACTGGAGAATCTATGAAGGAGGTCCAGAGAGCCCGAAAACAGCACTACCACTGAGAGTCGCGAATCAGAGCCATCACCGCTTGGTGAGAGCTTACATCAGGTAATACCCCCTCTGCTCGCAGGCAGGTCTCAAATGAAGCTTCAAATGTTCGCCAGCATGAGCGACGCGCGACAGAACATAAAACGAAAGCCAATAGCACTGCAAGTAAGAAAAGAAAAGGGGGGAGGGGGGGAAAGAAAGTATCCACGAAACCGAGCGCTGTTTTGGAAGACCCTCCTATGCGCAGAGTCTTGTAGTGGGGCGTGGGCGAGGGGAACCGAAATCAGGAAAACTAAACCGGAGGTAAACGCTGGGTTCCAAAACACACAGAGAAGCAGGCTCTGCAGACTGCTCATTGGTTGCACTTGGGGGGGTGGGAGGAAGAGAAGGAGGAAGGTAGGATGGTCCCATCACTCGCCACCCGCCAAACGCTCAATATGTTGAATGCATACAGACGGATGCCGAGAGAGGAACAGTCACTCACCTGCCGCACATTCATTATCAGCCCTGAATCCAGTGTCAAACACGAAGACAACACTAACGCCCTTCGGAACACAGTCGAACTTCTCCGAGAACACATCATGCGTGATGAAATTCCTGAAACCGCTAGCGTCCCACGTCGCGTCCACCGGCAGGATGACCTCCTCCAATCCTTCGAAGGAAGCCTTTGACGGAACCTGGGACCCATAGCCGGAGAAATGCACGTAGAGAATGTCGCCCTCCCGCGCGCCTTTCACCAGCCAATCAAGAGCGGCCAACAAATTAGACTTGGTGGGCGAGAGAGCCCCGCCCTTGTAGACGCACGGATCATCGACAAGCACAAAAAGATCCGACTCGGCGAAGCCATACGATAACGTCAAAACGGATTTCGCGTGCAGGACATCGTGGACAGGACCGTCCAAAGTCGGAATCTGTCGGTTGTCGGCATAGCTGATGCCAATCAGAACTGCCTTGCGCGCCATCTTCACTCCCACAGAGCTGCTAACGAAACGAAATCTTCCCCGCAAACGGGAGCAAGAAGGCCAATGTGCGTAATGGCGTCTCCTCCTCCCTTGGCTTTCCTTCCCCTGGTACCTCGACTGGCCTTCCTGCTCTATCTTCCGACCCACACGGTCAGCAGCGCACAGCCTCTCACTCACTGCCTCTCTGAAGGCCACCGCGAGCTTCGATCTGCCACCTTCAGAGGTTTTGTCATGGCAATATATATGCCCTGAGGAAAGTGGTCGAATGGTGTTGGAATCACCGAGCATCCCAAGGATTCGTGCTGGAGACGTTCACAAAATTCAAAAAAAGACGGGATAAACGGTAGAAGGCGCCCGCGCCAAAACCTTTTCGGTTTTGGCCGCCCAAAGTTTAGCCTTTTGGTACTACCGGCCCAATGATTTGCATGTGGGGTACTACAGGCCCACGCGTCGCTCTAAGGGTCCTACCGGGTTATGAATATTGGCGCATAACAGCGCCAGATTCATTTTGATGTAAAAGAGGCCGGGGGTGGTAACGCTGAAGTATCGAATGAGGCCCAAGTACGCGATTTTGAAAAAGAAGGGCCCTACCGGTTCATGAATCTGGCGCAGAAACAGCGCCAAATTCTGGAACCCGTAAAAACATGCCCAGGGAGATGTGGCCACGGCGCGAAGGCGCCTTTCCGCCAGGGGAAAGTTGTTTGGGCCGGTAGTACCAAACGGCCGAACTTTGGGCGGCCAAAACCGAAAAGGTTTTGGCGTGGGCTCTTTCTACCAATTATCCCAAAAAAGACGCCAGTGCATCTTCGATCGTTCTAGCGAAATATTCGTCCTCATTTTCCACATTAGTGAGCACTGGAGCGAGGCCCTAGAGGGCACTACTGAGTTTTCTAGGCGTGTGGTTGGAGACCCCAATCACGAGTGATCCGCACTAGAAGGGAAAAACAGAAAAAAAGCACCCTGCTTGCGTGGCGGCCCAAGAACGGGATAGACGAAGCAGAAAACGCGTAAACGTTTTTTTCTCTCTTTTTTTTTCCTTTCGTTTTCGTTTTTCCTTTCAAACGCGCGACTTTTGGTTGCTCTTTTAAACGTTTTTTGTCTGGGACGTAAATACGGTCAGATGCAGCCAACCCGGGTGCGAAAGCAGCCGAATGAGATCTAAGTCTTTGCGTTGCTACACTACTAGATCCACATGCACAAAAGACAAAATATGGAGGTGTATCTGTGCATGTTCTAGCAGAAGATTCACTCATTTTGCAAATTTGGAGAGAAGTGGAGAGGTGGTCCCTCTTCAAGTATATGACGAGAAACGACAACAGAAGCCAGCTCAATGGCGCTATCAAAACGCTGACCCACCAACGAGCCCAGCTCATTTGGTACACCCGCGAACTGTTGAACTGGCTTCCCAAGTTCGAATCCAGTTCATAAACTGAAAAAAAGCTCAGATCTCAAGGCTCTCGCCCTTTCTAATGAGAAAGAGAACAAAAAAGAAAAAAAAAACGCTGACGCCAAAAAACGCCGTACGCTGGGAGGCGCCGGAGCAGCACGGCCGCCCGTCTCGAAAACGCGGCCTCGTCATGAGGCCAACCGCTATCGGCCAACGTTTTGCATGCATCAGGAGAGCGGTGGTGTCCAGATTCATGTTCGTTCGTACGTTTGTTCCCAAGCGGGAAATTGACGAAATTCACGAACGTCAGACAGTCGAAAACGCGTGGGACCTCAGGCTCTATACAGGGAAACCCGTACCTGGCCATCGATTCCCCCAAGCGACGGAGAAACCGATAGATGGCTCCGTGTCAAGCTGAGGGCGAGGGCCGTAACAGATGCTGCCAGCGCAGGTTTTTTTTTTTTTTTTTTGTGGAAGTCATAGCTCATCTTCCAGGTTTGACGAGTCATCTGCATTCGTAGATACAGGAAAGTGTATGACATACAGAACAGATCCTGTTCAAGTACAGTCGTGCGCAGGTTTATTTTGTGTGTCAGCACAGGGGCCAAGTCCCACTAGCAGCTTTGAGGTTCTTCAAGGCCCCAATCTGGACGTGTTTGTGGATATGTGCAGAAATGGCGTTCAGGCTTCCTAACCGCACATCTCCATAAACACGTCCAGATTCAGGCGTTGAGGAAACTCAAAGCCGCTAGTGGGACTTGGCCCCAGGGCTTTGTCGTCCCCCAAAAGTCCCTCGCGACGGGGGCCAATATGCATCCCGTGAGAGGTAGCAGTGCTTGCAGGAGCCCCCTGTATAGGCTTCCGAGTAGTGGTAGGTGGATAGTGAAAGGTGGAGTCGGAGAGGAGGGGGGAGGGAGGGGGGGGAGCAAAAGTCCTTGGGGACATCTGTAAAAGTTGGAACGACACAGAGCCCCTGTGTAAGGATAACACGCATGAGTGTATCAGAGGTCTGAGTTCGGACTCGTTTTTATAGGACGGGCGCCAAGTCCCACATGCACCGTTGAACTTAAAAACTCAAAGCAAAGGCCGAAAAGGAGAATCAAATGCTGCTGGAGCCAAACCTCCTGGCTCCAACCAGCCGTATTTAGGCTGATTCCAGGCAGAATCTTTCATAGGCCCGAGAGACCAGTAGTGTAGTCCCCTCACCCTCCTTCCCCCCCCCAGTCCCCTTAGTTCCCCTCTCCCCCTTCCCTCCCTCCCTCCCTCCCTTCAAACCACCGTCTCCTTTCACTCCCCCATTCTCCCCCATCCCACAGCGCTGATCATCCTTAGTCTCAACCTCCTGACCTGAGATCCCCTATTCTGAGGCTATAACAGTAACACTCCCCTTACTACCTTTGCTCCCCTACACCAGAGTAGCATCTTAGTCTCAACCTCCTGACCTGAGATCCCCTATTCTGAGGCTATAACAGTAACACTCCCCTTACTACCTTTGCTCCCCTACACCAGAGTAGCATAGCATAGTTGAAACCTTTGGTTATTCTTTCAATTCAAACTGATGACTCTCGGTTCCTAACAGGTGCAGTAAAACGCGAAACTGGCAAATGCTGCCAGAGGATACTATTCCAGGTTGAATTGTGGGTCCCCGGCCCCATTTCTCCACCTTTGCAATCAAACAAACATCTTCAGGACAAAAAAAAAAAAAAAAAATGCTGCTGGAAGCTTTTTTCGGAAACTTTTCCCCTATTTCCCAAAAAACAATGAATAACCAAATGCTACTAAAATCTTTGTCCGTATTTTCTAAGAAGTAAAATGGGAAATAGAACAATCCTCAGTGAAACGCTCCGCATAGGAGGGGAGTCGACCGACGGCATGGGTTTAGCGCTCGCACTCCGCTCCGCTACCGGTAACACCGTTACCGGGGCCTACCCGGTTTTTCGCGCTCTCACCGTGAGAGTGAGCGGGACCTGCCTTCGTCTTCACCGTGGTAACATTTCCCACGGTAACACGCCCGGGCGGGGAACACGGAGGTGTGGGTAGCCATAGCCAGTTCTTAGTAATCTAGGGTTTGACAGGGTAGACAGGAATGGCGTGATACTTGGAATCGTGACTGTAGTATTGCCTACAATCGGGGTGATGCAGACTAGAGGAAGGGTGAGTGGGGCGTGCGCAGTAAGCGCCCGCCTTTGAGGTGAATGACGAAAGACTGCCACGCGAAGTAAAGGTGGGATCCTTCTTCCCACCACAGTCTCCTAGACAAGAGTTTATCTTCAACGAGCTCTCTTCCTCCTCAGACAAGGATACACTCGAAATGGACACAAGATGGCACAAGACTCAAGCCTATCGGACCGAACCATTTTAACGCACAAGTGTCCTTCCGGAAAGGAAAAATTATTGACGATCCCGGCTTTCAAGTTCAGCCTTCCCAGTGTCAGCTAACTCGTTAGATCAGTCCTTAGAGAAATGATCTCGGCTAGATTAGGACCATGTGTGTGAACATACGGGATTTGAGAATAGCGAATAGACAAAGCTTTTAAAACGGAATATGCGTCGATCGACTCCTTCAAATCACTAGGATTGTTTCTCCCACCTGAATCCATCCAATAGATGGAAGCCTTAAACCGACTTTCGGATCAGGGTTGGCAACCCCAACTGCTTTCTCCCGTTCGCTCGCGACGACAGCACTGATCCCTGTGATCGATAAGCTAGCACCTGCAAGCACTCATCTGTCATAATGATGACCCTATTTCGCCTTCCCATACGGATCTGTCTAGGTTCTGATCAAGCCATCCGACCCGATCAAGTTTCTGATTCTCTCCTTCATCCAGATCAAGATGTCGTTGAACTCGGGATGGAATAACTTAGGCAGCTAGCTGCATACTCGCCTTTCTCGCACTTACCATACAGACCCCTGTGAGCGCTAAGCTCGCACCTGTAAGCACTCAACCGTCACACGATAAATCTAATTTGTCTTCCGCACACAAATCTGTCTAGGTTCCGATTAAGCAGGATTATATTCCTGTCGATCAAGATTCTGATCCTCTCCTCTATCCGGATCAAGATCCCCTTGAAGTCGGGATGGAAGAACTCAGGCAGGAAGAGGTCATGGACGATCAAGCGTCGATCGGAACAAGATCGCCACCTCCTGCTCCGGAACCGTTGGAACGAGGAAGTCTCCGAACCTAAAGTCAGAGAACTACTCGCTCAATGCTATGAGGAAGGCAATATTCCCGATAACATTCCATGCGAAAGCGTTATCGGTAGAGAAGCAGTGATCAAGGTTAACTCAAACTTCGATCAAATCAAGGTCAAATGGTTAAAAGAGCGTACGGTGGTGGTGATTTTCAAGGACGCGGCCAAAGAACTTCCAAGGAAGGTGAAAGCAGATCTCATAAGGGCGTTGGAGAATGGATGGACCAGGGAAAATGTTTTCAACCCACTGGCACAAAGAGGTATGATTCGCTTCGAAGGTTTTAACGTTCTGTCATATGTAGCCAGAAACTCAATCGTATTAAACAAGATGATAGAACAAGCAGAAGGGAAAGTGGAGGCTTTTGGGTTGGAGTACTGTATGAACTTTAGACCTTTGATGACCCGTTTGGAATGGAGAGATTTTCGTAGGAGACAGGAAGAATCGACTTTCTGGGTTATGGCTTTGCAGGTTCCATTAGATTCGATAATTTATACAAAAACATCAATTAGGAGAATCATACGACCAATCACGAAAGATTACCCACCCATTAGAGATACTTCGAATCCAGAGTTGATGAACCTGAAGTACGATGTCGACCCATAGTTCAAAGCAAGGATAGTAGATAGGATTTGGGTAGAAACAGATAATGACGATCTCAGAGAGTTGAGACAGGTCTCATCGTCGACTCCTTGGTGCAGACGCTGCAGGGGTTTCTTTCACATGGAAGACAAATGCACACGAAACCTTAACTTCAACCAAGATAGACAAAGAGCTCAACACCAGCGTGATGAACGTTTCGCAAGACAGGATCTTGGAGGAAACGGAAATCCAGCAGAGGCAGCAAGCGCATGGACAACTACTAAGGC